GAGATGGACCTTCATATGGTGTACAGTATCTCCTCCTCATTTGTTGGTCACATGACGTTATATTGGGGAATGGAGATGGACCTTCATATGGTGTACAGTATCTCCTCCTCATTTGTTGGTCACATGACGTTATATTGAGAAATGGAGATGGATCTTCATATGGTGTACAGTATCTCCTCCTCATTTGTTGGGGACATGACGTTATATTGAGGAATGGAGGTAAGGGGCCAAACACTGAACCTTGGGGGACACCACTAACAACTCCCGACCATTTAAAGTATCCCCAGTCTCTGAATTGGGTCTTTAATCCAGTTTTCTATCCAATTACAGACTGAATGTTCTATACCTACTGACCTTAACTTACACATGAGCCTCCTGTGGGTAAAGTCCAAGTATACGATATCCACAGCCATTCCTCTAATTTATTTCTCACTTCCTCATAAAAAGGAAGAAGATTTGTTGGACAACTTCTGTCCTTTGTGAATCCGTGCCGACTATCGCTGATCAAACTTTCAAGCATCTTCCCAACTATTGAAGTTAAGCTTACAGGTCTGTAATTACGTGAAGACTTTGATCCCTTTCTAAATACCGGCACCACATTGGCCTTGCACCAATCTGTCGGCACCCAGCCAGTCATTAGAGAGTCTCTAAAAGTTACATACAATGGCTTCCAAATTACAGAGCTCAATTCTTTGAGGACACGTGGGTGTAATAGAGCTCAATTCTTTGAGGACACGTGGGTGTAATACAGCTCAATTCTTTGAGGACACATGGGTGTAAGACACCCGGTCCGGGTACTTTGTTTGCTTTCATTTTGTTTAACTGTTTCTGGACCATATCAATAGTCAACCATTGCGGTTCATTAGAGGCTGTGGCGCCGCCATGTCCATTATGGACTTGAGTTCCACCATGTTCCTTGGGGTACACAGAGCTGAAGAAAGTATTTCATAGATTTGCCTTCTCTTTGTCCCCCGTTACCAACTCTGAGTTGTCTTGTGAGGGGCCGACATGCTCAGACCTGATCTTTTTACTATTAATATATTTAAATAATTTTTTGGGGTTTGTCTTCTATGTATCATTTAGTCTCATCGTACCAGAGGATGTGAAGTTCTGTGAACTATCTAACATTTCTACTCAAACTGCTCACCTGGGTTCCTCTTACTGGATCCATCTGTAGGAAACACACACACTGACTGAATACATTGTTTCTATGTGTGTATCAGATGATGGGGGATCTAGGTGGACCCTCCGTACTGCTCTCTCCTCTTACCCGGTGATGTGAGGGGCGGCTCATTCTCCATCATCACGTCCTTGTAGAGACCCCGGTGTCCTTCTAGATACTCCCACTCTTCCATGGAGAAATAGACAGAGACATCCTGACACCTTATAGGAACCTGAGATCATCATACCTGAGACCATCATGATGTCAAGGTCTATCTATCCTGATCAGTCCAGATATCTACACATTGTATTTTGTGGTCAGTACTTACGTGTGCCGTTATCTGGAGAAGATTCCTCCTGTTTAATTGCTATAATCATCTCATCCTTCTCTGCAGTTTGATGATCATCATTCACAGTGACCTCCTCTTTTTCTTCTTCTTCTTCTTTAATCTCAACTTTTATATAAAAC